GAGGCGGTTATTGTTTGGAGGGAGAGTCCCCCTCCCTACAGGAAGCCACGACCACGTGTCAGAGCAGGGAAAATGGCCACGGGTCATGTTCGTCACCCAATGAGGAGTTCACGAACGGAAGCAAAATTTTGCGAACGGTGCTGTTCGTGAACCAAATTGTTCGTGAACAGAAGTGTTCATGAACCGAGGTACCACTGTATTATGCTGGTTGCTTGGTGAAACCTGGTCTGTCTTTACAAACACATCAAGTCTGTCAGCTTTCCTGCCCTGCCAGCGCCAACCATCCCAAGTCCTGAAGACCAGCAGTTATCTTCAGGGCACATTCAGAGTATTGATACTAACTACAGAACACCTCTCCGACTGTGCACGTGCCTGGCTGCTTAGCTCAGTAGGGAAGGCTCTTTTGACTGCCTGGGAGATGGGAAGGGTTCTTTCATTGCTTAGCTCCCTAGCAGTGGGAGATGCTCCCTGGGGAGATGTGCCTGGGGCCCCCTCCCAGAATTTAGGAAGATCATGAAAAACATCACTTCCTCCAAACTTTTAATTGTTAATTTACTTCTATCTGATTTAATTGTTCTAATGTTATTTTACTTTATATTTTATATTTTTTTAATCACTGAAAGCTGCCTTGATTGTTGAAGAAACAGATAGGCAGAGATCAGATTTAATCAATTAATCAATCAATAACTTTTGTTGGTTTCATCCTGCTTCTTTTGTCTGGGTTACCGAAGAAGAACTGCCAAGTCATCAAGGCAGCAGTTCCCTTAAAAGAGCCAGGAGGAGGGCTAAAGCATGAGTTCTCTCCAATAAGGAAACAGCCACAGAATGTTCTTTCCTCCGCCAAAAAACCTAGTTTCACAGTGATTGCAACTATTTTTTTTTTAATTTAGTAAATTTACATTCCACTTTTCTGCTTATGTAAGCACTGCCTGAGCAGTACATTGCAGCTGAACCAGAAATATATCAGCTCAGTTCTAGAGTACTGTTGATATCCTGGAAACATGGAACAGTAAATTGCTCTTTACAATGCTGTGGAATTCTTGTGTCATCTTTCCTCTTGGATCCCAGGCTTTAGCATCTCTAGCAGGTCTCTCAAGGGGAAACAGCTTTGTAGTTACCTTCACAAGAACTGCTCAGATATTAGTTTTATTTGCACATGACCACAAACATGCACATGGTACAAAGTGAATGTGTGCATGGGGTGTTTGTGTACAAGCCGTTTAGTTTATATCACTTTTGCATGGAGTGGGAATGAAGGAATCTTTATTTCTCCAGGACCTTTCCAGCAGCTTTGAGTGAAGTGGTGATTCTTGGCTTCTTTTATTCAGCTTGGTGATGTTGATTGTAGTGAAATTGACAGAAATGGAAATAGTGGAGCCATGGAACTACCCTGAGTTGTGTATATCTGTGTGTAAGTTAGCAAAGTGGGTGCCTTGCAGAAATTTAGTACAGTATGTCCCTTTCCACCCTTTAAACTCTGGAAAACCTTCCATAAAAATGGTATCCCCTACTTCTGAAATGTTGCTCTTGACATGCCACTCAACACTCAGTGTGGCTGTCAACAGAAGTTTGAAATGGGCAATACATGCCAAAACAGAAATACCTGCTAAGATCAGAGCAAAAGAGTCTCACCTTTTAGGCAGCAGAGCTGAACCCTTCTCTTTTTCTATAATGTGTAGGGTAGATGGAACTGCTGGAATATTTGATTTCATAGTTGTAGGTTCATAAAACAATTTAAAGTCAAATGTCAGTGGAGATCTCTGATAGGGATTTAACCGTAGTTTCCCAAGATTCCAATACTGGTTTTAAAAAAACACAGAGAGAATTCATTAGTATCTACTTTTGTGAATTCTTCATTTTCACTACTACGGAAAGCTCCAGGGTAGCATTTAAATTATTTACATTTATATACATGGCATGCGTGGTTAGCTATCATGTAAGTTCTTTTTTGACTAGCCCTAACAGGAAAGAGGCAGTCTGGTGTTCAAAATATCTTGGGATGATATTTAATGGCATAAACAAAGAATACACCGGTAAACAGCAAATTCAGACCACCCAGTGTCAAAATTGCATCCCAAGCAGAAGGGGGAGAAAAATTTCATTTTCTCTTCTGCATTCCCCAATATTCCAGGACAGATTTTGTGGGGTGTATGAGGAATCACAAGGGATGAGGACAGGAGTGTTCATAGAGTGTAGTCAAGAAATTCAAGATGGTGGCCATGACAGTGTGACTGAAACTCTGCCCATTTTTTTGGTGCAATCCACGTAAAAAAAACGCAGGGCTTCAATTGCACTGCTGTGGCCACCCTCTTGACTTTTTTGACCTCACCCTGTGGACATCGCTGGAGGAGGAGAAGAATCACTCCTTCCAATTCTGGTGATAAAGGTAATGCCATTGTTCAAATGGGAATCCACTTTTGGGACATTAGCTTTCTTCAGGAAAACTGAGAATTACTTTTATGTTTCACTCCACATTTCATTTATACACAGAGAGTGTGAATCAGTTCTTAGAATCATAATGAATCCAGGTTCCTGAGGTTTTCTTGAAGGTCATAGGAAAAAACATTCATTCTAAAACAATCACCACCGTTTCTACTGTATATTATCTCAAAAGTTACCTCAATCATGTCATATTTCCTCAGTTTTTTCTTCTCATAATGCTTCAAGGTGTCTATTTTTAGTAGCATTCTCTGAGCCATATTTATTCTTCGTTTTCTATAGAGAAGACAATTTTTTGATTCTGAAAGGAAAAAAATCAGATGAAAGTCTATTGTGCTAAGGAACAAAAAAAACGTTCCCCTTTTAGGGATTATTTTATGTAGTTAAGCTGGTCTAGTTGATGCCCTGTCCATGAAACTATGCAAGTAAATGTGCTAATCCCATAATGCTGAAATATGCAATCAAAGTAACGCAAGTATTTTATTTAAAAGAATGTCACCGGACATGCAGAATGTCTCTCTTACACCTTGAATCAGGTATGATGAAGGTAGAGACCAGAGTCTGCCTCTTAATTTTCATTTACTGTCTTCTTACCTGAGGGCTGACCCTCTCACATAACTCTTACTGGATGAGTTCCCTTGTAAGCTAATTACAGACATATGGCCTTTCTCCACATAAAGTGTTAAAAAGGGGATATGATCTCGCAACATCTGTCATCAAACAACGTATTATGGATTTGGAATGCCAAACTGATCTAGGCAGACCTCCTACACTGCCAGTGGAGCAGCACATAAGGTACTTTCTTCAACCTGCCTCACATCTCACAGAACTTCTACTCTGACAAGGTGAAGTGTCCTCCCTTCGGTGGTGCTAGAGGAGAAAGGTAAAAACAATCCCCTATCCAGAACAATGGTGTCCCTGTCAGGATGGGGAGGTAGAAGCAGCTGAGCATGCTCTCCTTTCCTGACAATATTATAGCCGTGTATGAAGCACCTCTGTTATACCACTGCTTGCGGACTTCCAGGTCATCCCAGGCATTCCTAAGCATCTTTCCTGTTTTCTGGTAAGTGCTCCACCATAAAGTATATGATCTACCACATTTTATGTGGTGGCATGTAACATCAGGAAGATGTTGGTTCCTCCAAAATGTCACCAATAACTGGGGGTTTTTTTCCTTCTCTTAAACAGTCCCCCCCCCCTTTCCTCCTAAGCTCTTTGTAACAGCTTTTTCGGAATACAGTATTCTTATAGCTGTGATTTAATTATTTTGGGTTTTAGTACTACTGGGGCAAGTTTAACTATACCCTGACTGTTTTCTATGTTTCCCCTTTTTCATCATGTGATTTATTTTTAAAAAAATGTATTGTTCTATGCTGGTCTTTGGCCATAATAAAATTTAAGTTTCAATAACTGAAGATGCATATTCTGCCTTTACTGCCTCTTAACATGCTTTCTCTTAATGAACATCTCTCTGAGACATTTAACCTATCTTAGCTTACACCTTTAACCACAGCTCCTTAAATACTAAAATCTTCTGGCACTTAGAGAAGCCTAGAAGCAACTTGATCCAAAGGGGTCCCAGTTTCTCTCTTTGTAACAGACATCCTGGAGGGTCCTCATCTTCAAGATGTGATCCTAGGATCAACAGCTGTCTGTATCAGCTAAGATACAATTCTTGTTCACCTTTTCATTCTGCATATTTTCTTGCAATCTATCCATCATTTCAACATCTCTGCTGCAAGTGACAGGACCTTCATCTGCATTCTACTGTATCTCTAAGTTGAAAGCCTTCAGACTGTATGCTATAAATAATAAACTTATTTTGGACTACAGTATAAAAAAATATAGAACAATGTCTCAGTGCTGTCTGAATTGTGAGATTCCAAATTTCAGAACTATATTCTCTCAAGTTCAGAATAACAGCACTGGTACTATCATGTGTGTCTGCCCATAAACCCTTAATCATGTGCTTACATCCTGCCTATAAACACTTAATCAGGTGCAGAGATAATTTTGAAAAAAAAATTGTAACTTTCTGTAACCGTTGCTAGGATCATCATGTACAGGACATCTCAGATAATGATCTGGCACGCTGCACACAGCATGTCACATATTCACTTGATTTACTGGCCTATTGTGTGGTTTAGATGATTGCAGAATCCAGCATATGTGAAGTTAGTATTTTGCAGGAAAAACACAGCGGGAAGTTCATCAACACTTTCATGATCACATTAGGCTAAATAAAGATCACATTAGGATAAACAATGAATGCACTTTCAATATTTGATTGTCTTGATTGTGAGTATATGGCAAAATGGCTCATTATAACAACAATACCAAAATTAACATAAAAGAAGCTACGTTTTGTTTCAGTCCTGGTGGCAGCATTATTGCATACCGGTTTACCAAGTGTAATACACCAATGTTCTACACCATGAGTGGCCAATCTTCATCTTCCAGTGTTATATTGCATGTAATTACTGTAACTTCTTATTCAAAGGAAAAGAGATAGGCAAGT